CGGGGGAGAACTGAAGGTTCTACTGTTACATCAACTACACATACACTGTTTTTAGACTTCTGCTCACAATTCTTAACATTCTTATCGCCTGGTTAACAACCTTGAAACTTGCCAATTACAAATACAACCTGCATATAACAGCAATTAAAGAGATTGTGCATACACTTCAACTACAGCAGTTCTTCCATCCATAGTAAAAAAACACAGGAAAGCATGTGCCACATCATTGTTTATTCAAGAGACAGGCTTCATCTCCCAGATTACATAGCCAATAAAGAGACTGGAGGATATCCAACAAGCAAGGGTAAAACAAGGCTACGATGCCCTCTGAGCCTTTAAGACACTATGGTAACAGTGTCCCAAGAAAAACACAGCCCAGCTGGGTTATGTGGGCCTGAAGGTCCCCTAGAAAGGGAGAAACTCTGTGATGATTTTGACAGGCTTATTCAGAAGAGTAGGACACAAAGAATTAGGCATTTGCAAGTAAATTGGAAGGAATGAGGTAGTATAGCCTAGGCCAAGAGTGCTGTTGCAGTAATAAAGGTACTGGTTTGTAAAGGGCGTGGAGAAAAGAACAACCTGAACATTTGACCTAAGAGGATCTTCAGTTTAGTTGCCAAAGGACAGAAGTTTAAAAGTTTAAAAAAACACCATACAATGCACAAAATATACCAACAGTAGCTAATGCACACAAACAGTAATATTAAAGGGGTGTTGGTCGACAGCAGGCTGAACATGAGCCAGTAGTGTGCCCAGGTGGCCAAGAAGGCCAACAGCATCCTGGCCTGTATCAGGAACAGCGTGGTGAGTAGGACCCGAGAGGTGATCGTCCCCCTGTACTCGGCACTGGTGAGGCCCCACCTGGAGTACTGTGTCCAGTTTTGGGCCCCTTACCACAAAAAAAAAAAACATTGAGGTGCTGGAGCAGGTCCAGAGAAGGGTAACAAAGCTGGTGAGGGGTCTGGAGAACAAGTCTTATGCAGAGAGGCTGAGGGAGCTGGGGTTGTTTAACCTAGAGAAGAGGAAGCCAAAGGGAGACCTTATTGCGCTCTACAACTACCTGAAAGGAGGTTGTAGAGCAGCAGGGGTACATCTCTTCTCCCAAGTCACAGGCAACAGGACAAGAGGAAATGGCCTCAAGTTGTACCAGGGAAGGTTTCAGAGTGGATATTAGGAAAAATTTCTTCTCTGAAAGGGTTATCAGACCCTTGGAATGGGCTTCCCAGGGAAGTGGTTGAGGCCCCATCCCTGGGGATATTCAAAAGATGAGCTGACATGGTGCTCAGGAATATGGTTTAGTGTTGGGTGGGTGGTTTTGGTTTGGGTTTTTTTTTGTTGGTTTTGGGGTTTTTTTTGTGGTTGGACTAGATGATCTTAAAGGTCCCTTCCAACCTAGGCAATTCTATGATTCTGTAAAGGCAGCTTTCACCTCTGTTAGAGTTAACTACACAAGCATCAAAACCATACATGCACTATTTTGTATATTGCTGCTTCTAGAAACCCGTTTGCCTAACTCCTTCCACACATGGGAAAATGTGTGGAAATTTCTCTTACTGTTGGGTAACACATTCTCCCAGGTACTATTTTTTCATAACTGTGTGCACTCAGTAATGTTACTTCAGGTAACTTTAGCATTTATGGCCATGTACATTTATTAATGTTTTAAAAAGCCAGTATACAACAAGCATTGAAACTCAGTCCAGAGCTGTTTTGGTTTTAGATTATTTATTTATCTGCAGTCTCACCACACAGGAACACCACCCAAAGTGATGCAGCACGCTGTGTAGCTTCACACTTCTGAGGTGTATACTAACCACCAGCGTTGCCTTTAAGATGCCAAGAGCAAAATCTCACAGCACTTTCATCTTTACCTGCACTGCCAGCATTTATTGCCCATTGCCCAAAGATATCCCAGAAGAAAAACAGAGGAGCAGTTATAATCTCCTTAATTAGAGGTGATTACAGCTGATTGCAGAACAGCCTCATAGCCTTTCCCCTAAGTTTACCAGGCTATCGGAGCAGCCAGGCATCACAACACCAGTAGATGCTCCATGCTGCTTTGAAGCTGCTGTAGTTAAAAAAAATACAAAATGAACGAAAAACCTAGCAGTGCAGAAAGTCTAATATGCCATGTGGTTAATCCTCCTGAGTCAACAACAAGCTGCTTCCTTGGTCTCAAAACTCCGATGTAATCAGAGTTATCTGATGTAATTGGTTTTAATAACAAAACAAAAATAAGAGAAAGAAGTATTTTGCTCTGTACAAGAACTGGTATAGAAACATGGCAAGATCCTTAAGGATCAAGAGGAAAATATATGACTACCCTTACTCCCATATCACTGGCTCCCTAAAGCAAGTCACAACAGTGGCCTGTCACTCTAAGACAACCAGTATAATCATTGTGACAAAACATTTTAAAAACTGACAAACTTCTGCCTCAATCTCATTTGCACTATAATATTTGAACACCTGCTTTCATTACTACAAAGACAAAATGCAATGAGAGTAGGGTTACACTTTGAATACACCTCTCCTAAAAGCAGGGTCTCCACAGAGGACTTGCTTCAATTCAAATGGTCATATTTTAATCAGGCAGCTTTACAGGCTAAACATGCTTTAACACCAGCTTTTATCACCTGTTGCTTTGAGGCATTTTAGCTTCTTCTAATCATCTGTTCAAAATGCATTTTAATTCTTCGGATACAACACTTGATTTTGTCAAATAAATATAAAGCCTACTTAGCTATTGTCTGGAGATTGTGACAAAACATTTTAAGAACTGACAAACTTCTGCCTCAATCTCATTTGCACTATAATATTTGAACACCTGCTTTCATTACTACAAAGACAAAATGCAATGAGAGTAGGGTTACACTTTGAATACACCTCTCCTAAAAGCAGGGTCTCCACAGAGGACTTGCTTCAATTCAAATGGTCATATTTTAATCAGGCAGCTTTACAGGCTAAACATGCTTTAACACCAGCTTTTATCACCTGTTGCTTTGAGGCATTTTAGCTTCTTCTAATCATCTGTTCAAAATGCATTTTAATTCTTCGGATACAACACTTGATTTTGTCAAATAAATATAAAGCCTACTTAGCTATTGTCTGGAAAGTAACTTCCCCCTCTCGCTTTTTTAAAAAATGAGCATCAATAGTTTTGAAGGGAGGGAAGAATACATCAGCAACACCAAAGTTGGAATATTTTATCCCTAATTCCATAGCCTTGCCTACCTTATCCAGCTGCCAACCAGGTTCCACATGCTCAGTAACACAACAAGAAGTTTTTTGTCAGACATACAGACAATACCAGGAGCTAACAGATTTAATTCATCAATGAACTGACATTTAAAGCAGATGAAAACTCAAAATCCACTTTCTAAACAGTGACTGAGTGAGGAGGGGTAAAATGAACCACAGAGGCAAACCTCTCTTTCTGCTCTACATCTGCTCTAGCTCTTTTTTATACATAATATCTATTTCAAAAATGTAATTAAGTGTGTGTATATATATGCACATACACATACAGAGCATACACATTGCCCCCTACTGACCAGAGGCCAATACATAAGTGTTTTTTAGTGCACACTGCTCATCATGCATGAATGCTTGACAGGACCATACCAGTGTGTGTATCAATTCCTGATACTTGCTGGTATAGTAAGAGGCATCTCCTTTACTTCAGCTGCCACAAGGCTTTTTCAGAACTCAATTGTAAAGCCTGAGGTTTCTCTGCTTTCATTCCTCCTACCTGATGATACACATAGCAGGGGAATGAGGGGGGGTTGAAATCAAACCAACCACATACACCAACTGCTTACAGGTTAGCTTATGTCTATCTAGATACCAGCACCCAAGCTCTTGCTGTTTTATGATACATTCATCAGCACTCATTTCCCCCCCCCCCTCATTGTTAGGCATTTTAATGAAATACCAGGGATCTGTGGAGGGGCAGAAGGGGGGTAAGTCAAACAGGAAAACATCTTGGAGAGGCACTGGCTGCTACTTCCAGGCCAACTTGCTAGCAATTCCTTCCCTCTGCTTTTTTCATGAACACTGTCATTTTACCTTTCAATGTGACTACAAACTAAAAACACCAAACACAGAAGGAGATCAGTAGACACTGTAACTCTTAACATCTCCCTTCCTCCATCCCTACACTGAACAAACTTTTTAAAGTTTCCACTTCCATGACCGGGGGGGGAAGAAAGCCACTTTAGACCAAAGTATAGACACACTTTAGATTGGAAAAAATCCAGAATTTTTTTAATTTAGGAAGCAACTCAGTAATTTCAACTGTAAGCTTCTTAGAGGATCTACATGTTATATTAAGAGTCTGTAGACCACCTTTCTGACAGTGACTGGCCATAATGTGCTATTCATAAGTACCTACAGATGGACAGAAGTAGACTGGGTTTCTTGAAATGAAGGGAGAGAGAAGACTTCTGCTATTGTTTCTATACTCACCCAAGGCCCAGTATGATGCAGCTTCCAAAGGTGGAGCACTGCTGTAGAGAGCATGGATATACATGAGGTGAATCATCAGCTCAGCCAGGCACCACCAAAAGAAAATACGAATTATGCCCAAGATTAAGACGCTGAGATTGGTCTTCAAACTGAAGGCTTCTTTTCTCCTCATCTAAAGAAGAAATCCAAAGATGTTATATGGCACAAAACTGGCTGTTTTACACAAATAGTCATCCTCACAAGTTTTTAATTTCATTTGCTATTCATTACTATTACCAAGGACACCATTTGATTACATCATTTAGAAATTCCTGACACAGCCTTGAGGGAGGCTGGTCTGTCAATTCTCAACCTCAGTAAGCAGTAGAAATCAACAAGAGGCCAAACCCAAACATACACTGCACCAAACTGTTGTAGGAAAGGCCAAATGCTGTTAACCTCAACCAAATCCAGATGTGAGGTACTTTTTTTTTTAACTGGGTTTCTTGAAATGAAGGGAGAGAGAAGACTTCTGCTATTGTTTCTATACTCACCCAAGGCCCAGTATGATGCAGCTTCCAAAGGTGGAGCACTGCTGTAGAGAGCATGGATATACATGAGGTGAATCATCAGCTCAGCCAGGCACCACCAAAAGAAAATACGAATTATGCCCAAGATTAAGACGCTGAGATTGGTCTTCAAACTGAAGGCTTCTTTTCTCCTCATCTAAAGAAGAAATCCAAAGATGTTATATGGCACAAAACTGGCTGTTTTACACAAATAGTCATCCTCACAAGTTTTTAATTTCATTTGCTATTCATTACTATTACCAAAGACACCATTTGATTACATCATTTAGAAATTCCTGACACAGCCTTGAGGGAGGCTGGTCTGTCAATTCTCAACCTCAGTAAGCAGTAGAAATCAACAAGAGGCCAAACCCAAACATACACTGCACCAAACTGTTGTAGGAAAGGCCAAATGCTGTTAACCTCAACCAAATCCAGATGTGAGGTACTTTTTTTTTTATTTCCTACAACTTGATCAACTTCTAGAGATAACCAAAAAAGTTTAAAGAAACTACAGCTATGAAGGAGAAGAGTTTCCAAGCAGCAGCCCTACCAAACACAGAGACAACGACTGCTTGCTCTTAAAATATCTCCAACTTCTACCAGCTGCACAGGATTGATTATTTGAGGACTGTTCTTCATTTTTCTCCTGTAGCATTGCCAAGGTCAGCAACACCTACTACATGATGTGCTGAGCAAATGGCAGTTAAGTGCAAGTTAAGTATGGGATAAGACAAGGTTTGCAGTTGACAAGCTTCTCAAGATGCCCCAAACTCTTACACTGCTAACTATAATAAACACATCAGTATACTTTATCTTCTTTCTGCAGTAAAAGAATATAATAAACATAAGATTGCCTAAAAATTCAGTCATGTATCGTACATGTATCATCATGTGTGCAACATCTCCTTTTCCAGTCCCTAACTAGCCACCAAAAATGCACATAAAAGGTAAGCAATCAACCCATCTGCACAGAAAAAAACCCAAAACACAAGCCTGATAACTGCAAGCACACAGTACAGCTAACACGCGGTTAGCTCTGCTCACTTACAAATAAAGCAGGACACTCATTTTGAAGGTTCATTTGACAGTTAGCTCTGCTCACAAATGAAGCAGGACACTCATTTTGAAGGTTCATTTGTACCAGTCAGATGAAAGCTTGGAGACTACCACTTAGTCGGAGGAATTAGCACAACAGGCCTGTAAACCCGTGACAAACTGCTATGCCTCTACTCAGAAATTCAAGAAGGCCATTGATGAAATGTCACAGTCTCTCATTTTTTCCTGGCAATGGGTGCCAATTGCCAGCACTGGTATTACACTCTTCGGGCCGTGCAGCAGTTTCTGTCTTCATCTCCAGGACTTCTGCTTTGCAATATGCTCAGCTGGAGGCTCATCTCAGTCTCAGCTTCAGTTAAGCAGTTCTGCAAGTGGTCTTTTCTGACAGCTGCAATAAACACGCTCTTTGTATTGTGCACTTTGAATCAATTGCTGAGCACTGCAAACTTCAAAACCATTCTCCAGCCTCATCTGTCAAGGCAATATCCTCTGCTCAGGTAAGAGCTCTGACAATGCACTTCAGCAAAGACCAACAATAAACACCATAAGGCTGTTCAGTTTGTTCCATCTTCTTTATGGTTTTAACCAAAGAGGTCTGTACACATTTAAATGAAAACCTACTGCAAAAATAGGCATCCCATTCTCAATCTTCCTTTTTCTCCTCTCACCAAGAATACAGGTGGTCTTTGCTGGGCCATATCAGGTGAGCTTAGTTTCAATGCAAGACACAATTTTTCCTAACAGCTACACCCAAGTTACACAACTTGGAATCTCATGTCTTCTGAAACATTCCTTGGAAAAAAAAAAAATCATCTCCCTCTGCTAGGGGTTCAGGAATACAGGTGGAATTTAACACACTTCAGAAGCTACAAAGCAATAACCTTCTGAAACATTCCTTGGGAAAAAAAAAATCTCCCTCTGCTAGGGGTTCACGAATACAGGTGGAAGTTAACACACTTCAGAAGCTACAAAGCAATAAACAGTAAAAAAATAAATTACCTCAGTTTCTATGCAAGTCTATGCGGACTTTTCCTACAACATCCAGCCCAGGATAACAACATTCAGCCTTGCATCTTCCAAAGCTACTGAAGACAAATGAGCATAGGACTTGTCACTCAGGGGTCCACCAGAATCTCAGTTTTCACTTTCATAAAGCCCAGTCTATTTGCTCTGGCTTCAACAGAAAATTTCCAAATATAAGTAGAAGCAAGCAACACCTAAGCTTCTATATGTAAACTGAAATAGCAGTTTTATGGTTTGAAATGTCCAGTCATCCACTTTGTCCCAATTACATTAGCTATAGACATCACAGGTGGTGATTTAATTTCTTAAAGTGTGCAAGAAAATAAGCAATAAAGCACAGCAATCTGGGGTTTTCCCCGTCATGTAGAAGCAGGCTTGAAAAGCACACTGCAAGGTGCTACAAAAAAACCCCATGTAGTAAGACAGGTAAGTCTTTCACATTAAAGGGGCCACCCAGTTGCTCACTTTTCTAAAGAAAAGTGTTCCTAGTAAATCATCAGCTGTTTTCACACCAACATGAGGGGAAACTGGGGTCTTCAGGAACACCCAATACAAACCAGCAGCTTTCTGTAGCTCTGAAATATGTTTCAGAGTTAACAGCCAGCTGCTGCCAAAAATGTTGATTTATTCCACCTAATGGAGGAAAGGAAAACAAAAGTCCAGTCCAGCAGCTATATTCTAAAATTACAAACACTCTCCAAACACAATGACATGTGTCTTTGGCTCCCTGGTTGAAGGGACTAATCTGATGCCAGACAGAAAGACATCCTGCAAAGTAGAAATTGGGGAGGAAGGTTTTGTCTGAAAGCTGATAACCAGAATATTGTCAAATTCCCAATGCTCCACTTGAAACTGTCCAGTTTAGAGCTCTCCACATTCCAGTAACATTATTTGATATTTTTAAAGTTATGTGGAAGATAGCTTTGAACACATAAACAATTCCTAATCTCCAAGGACTAAGTAAAAATTGAAAACCTTAAAATCACTAGTAAGGTGAAAAAAAGTTACAGAATCACTTATAGATATTTTACTAAAGTCAAAACATATGTGAATGGAGACTCCTTTTCTGTAGTTTGCCTTTCCCCAGCCCCCCCCCGCCCCGGAGTATCTCATTGAAGGAAAAATATTTATTTCAGAAGAAAATAGAGATCAGAGTCTTACATAGAAGATTAATCATCCAGCCTTCACTATTCTTCACTTAACTATTTTGCTTTCTTCCCACTTTCTCTAACACTGTCATCTAATCAACCTCTCTCCACCCAAGCACTAGATACAAAGACTTCTTTTGACAATATATTTTGACTAAATATATTCTCAATGTTAGTTACCAGCCTGATGAGAATTCAATATTATGCCATTGCTGCCATACAAGCATGAATATCCAAGACTGGTTTCTACCTACAGCCTTCCCTTTCACATGCAGTTTACTTCAACACCTCAAGAGAAAAGGACAATAGATACAGAGTAACATTCAGAACACCTTCGTCAGTATCAATTTTTGTCAAGTACATATCCAGAAAATAAACAGAAACTCAGGTTTACCTGTAAATTACATTATGAAACACACCACTAAAAAGGCATCCAAAGGAAAACAATTTACCTACCTAACATTTTCTCATGATTGATATTAAAATCTCTCAAGATGAAGGAAAAAAATAATCAGCCTATCATGCTTTAATGTATAGAGTTTGTGTCTAGATTTGGCAACTGAAAAGAGATCACCATCCATTTCAATAGTTTGTCACACAATCCACCCAAAACACAGATGCACTGAAAATCTGTAACCCTGTGATCTTAAGAACACTGTTACCTGCTTACTGAATTCATCAAAGTTCATAAGGGGCCCATTGTGGAATGTGGGATAATAAAACACATATGCCAGCATCCACAGGAATGAGTGGGATGATTTCTGGGAAGGTCCATGCCAGCAGTATTCCAGGCTGAAGCTGGTGCAGAAGAGGCAGCGGACAGACACAGTGAAGAGCAGCAGATAATACTCATTTTCAGTGTCGTACCACTTTCTCTGCAAGATAAAACGAAGTCAGATCATGACAGTGCAATACTGTGTTTTTTATATAGCAGGGCAGCAATGTCTGCCCAGATCCTAACTTTCAGGGTCAGCAGCAGCAGAAAGCAACTAAAGCAAACAGCAGCTGGAATGAGCATCTGAAGTGAACAGCACTACTTAATGCATGAACAAGCAGCACTGGCTGTTGATGGAGAAAGGGCCTCCAGAACTACTGCAACCAGCACAGAGACAACAGCCTGATTTCAGAAACATACAGGTTGTGAAGAACTATGACAATAGGATAGTTTTTCCTTACAGGAATCCCCTTATCTCCCTCAGATTTGGTCCAGTAATACAATATCCAAACTAGCTGGCAACACTACTGACAGCCAAGGGACTGCTAGGGCTGAAGCCAAAGCTGCAGTTCAGATCCGAAGAGAAACAGTCGCTCCAGAGAGTGCTCAAGGCTGGGGAGATGTTACTGAGCCCTTATCAAGTTTCTGACACTGTCACACCTGTTTATAACAACAACAACAAAAAACCAAACAAACATCACAAAAAAACTTGGAAACATCAGAAAACATAGTTTGGCTGATTTGCATTGCAGTGAGCCCTTTCCTCCTCTCAGCAAGATGCAAGTCTGTCTACACCACAGGAAGAGAACCTACTCACTCCTCCGCCCTCTCCCTGACACCAGGGCCACAAGCCTTACAACATATGCCTAGTTTTTTCCCTTTCCCAAAGTAAATGCAAGAAGGACATTTCCTCACAACCAAGCAGCAGTTTCTCTAAAACCTGTACTGAGCAGCAAAAGCCATTAGAGAAAGAGCAAAAGTGAGCTTGCACCATCCAGTTGTGAGCAATTCATTGGGTATAAATCAAAGTGTTGGAGAAACAGTCCTGCTTCCCATGCAGAAGGCTACAGTCACCAATAAGGTACAGTCAGGCTTGACTAAACAACTCCTGGATATGAACTCAAAAACCAGCACCTGAAATCAGTATGATTACAGCTCCAAAGAACAAGAAATGTGTTTACTAGAGCACTAATAAAGTATTATCATGCTCAGCTCTACTGAATACCACTTAAGGCAAATACTGTCATGTCAATGCACCAGTCAGCATGGTTGAGAAATACGACTTTTCTAACTGGAGAAGCTCCATCATGAAGCACTGCAGTTCTATCACCTAGAAGCCAACTTTTCAAGCCAAATTTTCAAGCCAACTTCTGCTTGCATCGACTGAAGGGATAGTACTCCAACACAGATAGCTGCCATAATGGAGGAACACCACCACAATCCATTTGATGCTTAATTAGTCCTTCTCACATTACCTTGGCTTCTTCCACAGCTGGTATGCGCAAAGTAGATAGCAGGATAAGGGAACACAACCATGTCAGGAGTGACAGCTGGAACTGAGCCACAGCAAATGAAATTGTTGCATGTAACAAAATGACAGCAAAGCCCTTGATTCCCAGTAATAACCAGCAGGCAGCCATTCCATAAACCATCAAGCACCATGGTTTATACTGTTAGAAAAAGAAAAATGAACAGTTTTTAGTTTGATTATTTCTAAAGGAAAAAAAAAACCCACCCAGTATCTGTGCTGTCCTACAGAGGATCTATAGTAGAAACAACTGTAGTCAACAAGGTTAAGAACATGTATGAAACAACATAGGGAAAACCCAACAGTAGCTATAAAGATGGAAGGGAAGGGGTTTCTCTAGAAGCACATGAGAAATCCAAAGCCTCCCTGAGCTAGGGCAGAACATAACTTCTTCCTTTCCTTCCCCAAACTAGCAGGTGTGACACCACATGCCAGTCATTTCCCACAATCATGCCAAAATCCAAGAAGTCATCACTTCACAGTCTTGGAAAGGAATAACCACACCCTTCTCTTGTGTACAGGTCAAATGACACTGGTTAATGCTCCACAACAAAGAACAGGCTTTCATGGGTTGGAGATTGAAGTCTCCAAACACTAAGGCAACCAACCCACTCCCTCTCACTTGTGCATGATTGCAGACCCACTCACACAATTCACCCCACAGAATGGGGTTTCCCACACTAAGTAGCCTCAGTGCCAGGTTTCCCATGCCCAGAGTAAATTGAAACCCACGGAAACTCCCCGCTGTGAAGAAAATCCATACATACCTTCTCCACCAAGAGCCTGGACACTTGTGATACCAGGAGGTGACCAGCCAGAAGCCATAGTATACGTTCCCTTCCCCATTCGATCCAGTAGCTCCACTCAAAGTCCATGGGGTCCTGGGGCAGCAAGGGAACTGGTCAGTATATGTATCTTGCCATAAAAGCATGGTCTTACAGGACAAGGAAACACCTCCATAACACACCAGCTTTGATACCCAACACCATAGACTTAACATCTGGGGAACATCTCGGTCCAGCAATGTAGTCTGATCACTTACAGGGGTGAGCTCTGACAGCTCCATTTTGACTTCCAATGGCGTGAAATTCAGAAGAAGAGTTTTAGATGGTGTTACGACCCCTAAACCCCACACTAGCACTGAACGTGATTGAGCAGCAATCACTGCCACTCCATACAAGTGCCATAGGAGTTTTATAACCACAAAGCGGGCAGGCAGGTACCTACACACACCCCCCTACCTCCCTGGGACATGGGGAACAGGCTGGTGACTACACAGAGATGCATCCTGGAACAAGGGTCCCACTTCTCAGGGCTTCCCAGTCCAACACACCCTTGCTGGTGGTTCCCCATTAGGAACCTTCCTGGGAAATAACAAATTGGTCTGCTACTACCATTCCTGACCATCTTTTTAAACTCAACACCCCAAGTCACACCTCTTCTTGCCTCGGCTCTTAATTTTAGGACTTTTTTTTAATTTAGAAAAGGAAAAAAAACCCCACAAACTGTTTTGGACTATAATTAACCCACACAAAGCTTAGCCAGGAATTTTTCTTTCAATTTCTGTTAGCCTTATAAGAAAAAGCTTTTAAGAAAGGTGACAGAAAAGCAGAGCACTGCCTTCCCTCGACTGAGGGATTCAGAGAACAGCTCTGCTCCAGAAGACCCAGAGCTTGGGTGAGAAAACACCTTGACAGAAGTTCCACTCCCTGCTTCAAGAAAACCCAGGTGGGATCAGATGAAGTCAGGTCAGCTGGAGATTCCTGGGACATGGGGTTTTTTATCTAAATTAGTTAAGAGGGATCAGCTGGTAGCCCTGTCCTCCATACAGAGCCCCACCAGAAGCTCATCTCCACAATTGCTTTATGACTTTCTTGAAAGCACACGTGATAGTGGAACTAAACACCAAAATACCTCCAGAGACATGCACTCCTGGTCTTGTGTAAATCATCCTCAGTAATAGTTGCATGCAATAGTTACACTTCAAAAGGATATGAGGTCAAAAGCAAACAAAGGGGTTGGGGGCTGATTGCTTTTTGGTTTGGGGTAAAAGGGTGCTAGTTTGTTTTTTTTTTTAAGACCAAACATGTTTCTTAAAGCCCTTATGCCTCAAAAATCTGTTCTCCTCTGTGCTGGACTACAGCCAGTCAAGAAGAAAACTTGTGTTCACTAATGTTAAGCATTATCCAAACCACCCAGTGACAGGAAAAAGGGGGAAAAGGGCTGCAGGAAATGTCAAGGGTCATCATAACTTGTAAGGACAAACAGTAAACCAGAAGGTTATTACGTGATATAACAAAGGAGAAACACTTGAGCCAAGGATCAAGAAATGAAATAAAACTTTGGTTATGATTCTTAGATCTAGACACACTTGGCAAGTCCCTCTTTCTCATGAGAAACAGACTAAAATTAACCATGAATATCCAGATCTTCAAAGTTGCTATAAATCTCTGAAGCTAAATCAGGAGCTCAGGTGAGCAAAGGGCATGGAGACAAGATGTTCACATTATTGCCACAAAATAAAAGATGCTGGTACCAGTCACCCATCGTACCTTTTTGAGGCCCCGAAAGAGAGTCCCTGGTTCCAGCCCAAACCTTCTGTCCATCACAGCTTCATACTCTGCAGAGAAGAGCAAACCTTTGCTAAGGACACAGCAGCCAGAGCAGAGAGTCAAAGATGTAGCATCTGCTGCTCAAGAGCAACACCGTCCTGTGTTTCTTCTGCTGCTGAAAGACTCAGAGCCAGGGAAGGGCACATCACCATGCTCACCAGGCAAGCTGCCCAGCTAGGTCACAGCTCTACCCCATGGCAAAGCCAAAGCCACTGAATTGCCCAGAACCTATGCTTTGATTCCCTCTTGCAACAAGGGCAGTAGTAGGCAGTGACCAACCTTTTACCACACAGAATCTGCACTGATCCTCACTTCCTCTCTTTCAGGGCTGCCTGGTTTCTCCCATCAGAGCAGAAGGGAGACACACAGTCCTGACAGCAACCATTACAGCCAGAGCAGGGCAAAGCTGCTCAGACAAGGTGCCTCCAGAGCCTGTTCCCATGCAGCCTTTTGCCATCTCTGCAAAAGATGCGCTGCACATGTGGGTGCAGCCCTGCAACCATTTACCCAGCCCTTCCTTCACTGCCCTGCAAGTGCCCTTCTGGTACTCCTGTTCTTCCCTTAAGCTCTTTTGAGAGCCTGCCAGGGTCATTAACGTAGAACACCTTGCTGATTAAATCCTAACAGGATGCATTACACATTTCCCTAATGAGCCCCTCTAACTAGCTATACTTTTTATTTCCCTTAAGACACCGATGTGCTAGAACACAGCTTCTTTTCATCTACAAATTGTATTTAAACTGTTTAAAACCCCACTCTTCCTTTACATTGCATGGCTCCACTGAACCAAAACCAAGCCACTGTAACAGCTACCAACAGGTTACCCAAGGCACAGGAGTATGTTTGGAAACAAACTGACCCCAAAAAGCTGCACAGATAATCCAGCACAGCTGCACAGAGCCTCACCTGCCCTGGGTTCTCCCCAGGTTCAGTCCACAGCAATCACCATCAGGAGGCACAGCTGCTTTTCTGAACCACCCACCTCCAAGTGGCTGCAGGTGAGAAGGTTCAAGGCTAGCCAGGAAAAAAAAAATCCAGTTCAGTGCCAACATTCCTGCACTTCCCACATTTGAACAGCTGAGCTTCAGAGGTCTCCCTCAACTCTTTCCTGACAGCCTAGTAGCACCCCTGCCAAGGGTGTCCCGGCACTCAATGCAGAAAAGTCTTGGGAAAAGCTCTCTGCCCAGCTGGCACCTGGCTACTGCTTCCTCACAGGGGGCTGGTTTGCAGCCAGGGATCGCACAGGCACTCCTTGCAGCAGAGCAAAGTAACACCAACCCAGAGAGCACAACTCAAGCCGAGCAGCCTCACCAGCCGCCAGCGCTGCAGGAGCGAGCACAGCCGCACCGCGGACTTACTTTGAGACACTTGGTGCGCTTCGTAGAAGGCGTAGAGGTGGGAGCCCACGGCCAGGAGCCCGTAGAGACACATTTCCCAGGCCGGCAGCACCATCGGACCGGGGGCTGCTTCCCCGCGGACCCCGCCGGCCGCCTCCCTGCGGGGAAAGAGGGGACGGGAGAGGTTTCCCCGCGGAAGACGGACGAGCACCGAGCAGCGGGACACCCCGCACCGGGCACCGCACGCCGGGCCCTCGGCGGGGCAGCCGGGCGGGCCGGGCAGCAGCCACCGAGCGCGACTCAGGCCCCGGCGCTGCTCGGGCCCTGCGGCGAGGCCGGTCGGGGCAATGAGGCGACCGGGCTCCGCCGGGAGGGGAGACGAGGTGAGCCCTGCCCGGCCGCGACGGCTGCGGAGGCCCCGAGGGCCGAGGGCTCGGTACGGCCAGGGCCGGACCCCGGCTGCTCTCGCCGACCCGGGATGAGAGGAGCGAAGAGGGGACCCCGCTCTCCCCTTACCTGAGGAGGGCTCCGCCGCCGGGACCGGGAGCAGCAGCCCCGGGTGGATCGAGCCGAGGCTCCAGCCCTGCGGTGGGCAGGCGGACTCCCGGCAAGGGGCCGCTCCGGGTCGAGACGCCCCCGCC